GCCGTGAGTATGATGAAAACAATAGCCTTGAGTATGATGAAAACAATAGCCGTGAGTATGATAATAATGCCACACCTCAAACTTGGTGTAGCAAGGGTAAAATCTTCTACTGGTATCAATCACCACTGCACTGGGATATCTGTTATACGGTACTCGGAAACCTATATATCTTCACAGATCATTAATAACTTGTTTGGCTCTGAGAGTGATAGCACCACGAAATAAAATGTTAATTATTGTTATAGAAATAAACTCACACTCACACCTGTCAAAGTTGTGTTTCAGTCTTCCCCAAATCTCAGAGGAACAACATTTAATCAACAGACCGCTAACAGCAAACAACGCTACCCACAATGCACTATTACAATGGGTATTGGAAAAGCTCAACAACTGTAGGAAATATAAATGTATGACCTTGAAAAAGCACTTCCATGTACAGTGTAATTCCAAAAAACGAAAGACCAGTTAAATGAGAACTGACCAATGAGGTCGCTCTCCGTCAATACCAAGAACTGTGTGACTGCTCAGTCAGGCGACCAATATGCTGGTAAAGGTAACTCACCAGAATGTGCTCTAGCATTTATAGAACACGAACACAGTTACTACTATAACGCGATATCGCTTACAATAAAGAAAGTAATATCAATCTGTTTAATTACAGTCTTCAGAACCGTAAGAGTGGTGGGTCCACGCTCAAATATTGATATATTGATCAAACGATAATAATATAACAACGTCAGAAAAGCATTCACAATTACTCAGAAAATTAGCAATAACAGTGATGGTTAACCAGAGCATAAATAGCCTTTCACTGTGGCTGTTAAATAAATGTGACTTCAAAATTTGGCCGAGCAAGTATTCTAATTAAAACAGAATACATAGCCTCACATATACAAATTCACTCGATTATAATATCTCATCGGAAAGAAATCAGTTTAGCCTGTTTTGTGAATCACCGAACGAAATAAATGTCCTGGATCTATCCAGAACTCGTATTATAATCTACAAACACTCTCCGAATCACACGGGGTTGTAATGCAAAGTGCGGCTTCAACTCGATTAATTTATATTTATCGGTGGAGTTCAGTGAAACTTTTCACACTATATAAAGGGAATGGTACCTGTCGATGAAGGTTGCACTTCGGTGTTGGGGTTAGGATAGCATCTACGATGCGAATCGGCTCGTTGAAACGGTTTTCTTCATGATCACTGGGTCGTTTCTGTGCGGAAAACGTTCACTGGCTTGAACGCGTACACTGTTCTTGTTTGTACGGTCTCGTGCTCGTGTTTCTTTAGTCGTCGGTAACTTGAACTTTTGGTATTCTACGAGATACAATCAATTTTAACTCAAATCACGAGTCCTGGCAGATCTCAGTATTATCGTTTACCAGTATGTGCTAAAATTATAACGCACAGTCCGTTATTTCAGTGAAACACGGCAGAGTGAAAGTTGGTATCATGCTCCCGCGCTTTCGTTTCTTGCACCTCTGGTTTTCTCCCATCATCCCTTGCTGTGTTGTCAATCATTGTTGCTGCGTAGCATATATGGGAAAGCGTGATAATGCATTACATGGGGAAAACACTCATACAGGAATCATACAAATATGCAGACACTACGTATTCTCTGTAATTAACCCAATTAGTCTCAAATAAATAATGAAAAAAGAAATACATTTCAAATTCCAGGTGCAACATCCCCCCTTCCAAAGGGTTGGCATATCCTGCCTCCATACTGAATCAGAAATAGATTCAGTTGGGCGCAGCACTTGCCAATCCAACTAACCTTTCCCCGTAGGTTCTTTGAGCTGTGTGTACCCTAGTACAATCGATGGGTATCCATCCCATAAATTAGGCAGCCTAGGGCACCATTCTGAGTTAGTAGCAGTAACATCTGGTACCAAAGTAGCCTCTTTGACGTAACTGGTCGTGGCATGTTCCTCAACAACCATCTCCCTGTAGAAAGAAATATCATACAAGTTGCTCCTACAGAAGTGAGACCCTCCAATTATCAGAAACGTGCATATGTGAATAGCGCCACACACGCCAGCACGTCAGAAATCTGGTGGGAAAATGCGTTCCGAGATCGCTAGAGGGTGACATTGCACTGTAATGGCTGTCTACTCCATCTGAAAGAAAACACCAGAATATGCAAATCATGGGTGACTTTTCAGCGATCACTCTAACCGTGATCTCCCACAAATAAGCACCAATCCTGGAAAACAAATAGTAAGTCAATTACAATCCACGCGATCATTCATGCATCAGACATAATCTCTTCAGCATTCTAAAAAAAAAGCACATATCAACATTAATGTCACATGACAACTATTGTAATACATCATGAACCACTACAACACTGTAGTCGTATCTATCCTCTCATCTATGTTACATCATATGCTGCTGTGTCTGTCAACTCGCCAGGCTCATGGAATCGGTTAACTCCAATCCGGGTCCCTAACGAAAACGGTAAAAGATACACGTGTACACAGATACCACTGCATAAATGAGAACACTTGACGTATACAGAAAACGCATGACCTGGTCGATGATGCAGTGACTGAAGTCATAACGGATTATTGACGATTGCTTTGCAATATGGTAATCAAGGTAGCCTTCAGAGATGGCATTTCATTCCATTCAGTGGCTCGACATACTATTCCCGTCGACTGTTTATGTTTCGGAACGAACGATTGAGCTCTCGCATTTAGTCTGGAATTTGGCAGTGTTCGCTTATACAAGAATCCATAATACTGTGTTTTGTGTCGCCTTCGCAGCGAGTAACGCCTCGTTGTAGTAGTATTGCCTGATAGTTCTCTATCGGTCGTTTTGTTGCTGTTATGCAACGATTCGGTCAACTCCATACGCTCTGCACCAGTGTCAGGCAATACAGCTTCCGATAACTTGGTATTCATTACATTTGTGACCTCATCTATGAATGGAGAGATCTGTGTAATTTCTGCTCGGTTATTTTCCGCAGGCACATCAATTTCTGTATCACTCTGTTCGGCTGGCTTCTCGATTTCAGCATTGTTATTCGAAGAACAACCTTGCCCATCGGTTACAACTGTTGGCTCAGTTCCTCGTTGAGGCGAGATATGATCCTCAGTGGTTGGGTCTGAGGCATACAACTCATTGGGTTCAACAGTATCAATCTGAATTATATCATCTTGTTGTTCCTCAACTGCATTGATTCCAGGTTCACCATCCACAGTTTCAGTTGCTGAGGCTGTTGACTCGCTAACAGGATCGCTTCCATAAGCTGACTGACTAATGACTTCTGTGTCATGTACCGGCTGCGGAGCAGTTGAATCAATGACAGGTGTAGCGGGTCTCCTTTCATTCGCATTCATTGATACTCGAACACTCGTTTCATAATATGATTAATAAGTTTGTGTAGTACTTGGGTTCCTTTGGAAGATATACTCTGGCAATGAGTCATATTCAGACGTGGACCCCGTGTAGGAAGAAGTCGCAGGACGAGTAGCCCTGGTTGGCATCCGCCGTCGTCTCTGAGTTGGGTCTCTGATCGGTGTTCTCATTGGACGTTCATATGGTATTGGTGGCAAGGCATCAATCGGCATGAGCAGATTACGATGAATAGTACGTTTCTTTCCATTACCTTCTGATTTCAGTACATAAACTGGAATATCCACATGCACCCTTTTCACTACAGTGTATGCAGTAGATTCCCACTTATCAGCCAGCTTATGTTTACTTCTGATGTTAACATTTCTAATCAAGACTCGATCCCCGATTTCAAGATCAAGTCCATCACGGGCCTTTTTATCATAATGAATCTTGTTTTTACGCGCTCTGTCGGCTAATAATTTTCCGGCTATTTTATAAGCAGCGTGTAAGCTATCTTTCCACTGCCGTACATAAGCGTCTAGCGATTCCTCTGTGGACTCATCTGGGTTTAATCCTAGGAAAATGTCTATAGGTAACTGGGGATGAGTACCTCTCATCAGAAAGTGTTGTGTATACCCGGTCACATCATGTTTCGTACAATTGTACGCGTGTGCCATTGCTTTAACTTCTTGGCTCCAGTTGGTCTTTTTATCTGGCGTCAAGCAGTGTAGGAAATTTGTCCAGATTACATACCAGACATCAGGGCTGGTAACTTTCAAAAGTTACAAGCCCTGCTAAAATGTTACCAGTCTCGCACATTTTT